TTCATTACAGCAACATGAGCTTCAGCAGGAAGTTCAATGTGAAACTACAGCTTCAGATTGATCCTCCATCGATGTCAGAGCTGCTCTGCTCCCAGAGCTCCTGCAACACTTGAGCTCAGCCTGAAGTCCATGTTGGCTCCATCTGGGGTCAACCTGCTGGACGGGTCCAGACAGACTCAGAACTCTGCTGGTGGTCGACTCTGAGGAATTATTCTGGTGGATTAATCGTAACAACTGGACCTGCTTGAGCTCCTTGAAGACGTTCCACCTCTCATCCAAGAGTCTTCATCGGCTCTGACTGACTAGTTGGGAGTTCCACATACTGATATCCTGAAGGAGCCATTAACACCTGAGCAACAAACCCCCAATTGAAACCCAAACTCAGGTGTTAATGGCTCCTTAAGGATATCTGGAACTCCCAACTAGTCAGTCAGAACCGATGAAGCCTCTTGGATGAGAGGTGGAACATCTTCAAGGAACTCAAGCAAGTCCAGTTGTACGATTAATCTATGAGAAGAACCACGACCTGGAGGACTGAGGATCTTCACAGACACTCTGAGGGATTAATGGAGAGAGGAAAACACACAGACTTGTCCAAAGATGGAAACAAAAAGTTTTAAATAAATCAAAATACGTCCAAACTAAACTAAACTCATCCAAACATACAAAAACACGTGAACAAAGTGACTCAGACTTGATCCAGAACGACCCAAATACACGTCATCGTGTCCAAGTCATCCACAAGAATCCAGATTTGTCCAAAATGACTCAAACTTGTTCTGAAGAACCCAACCTGGTCCAGAAGGATTCAAACCGTGTTTAAACAGACAAACTGTCCTCAGACGACTTGAAGTCCATCAAACCTAAACAGTGATGTTAACTTGAACAACATCCATCTACAGTCACACAGTCTGAGCGAACAGAACTTCTGTCAGAACCAAGTCGCTTCATGACCGGAGTTCTGATCAGCTCTCAGTGAAGGCTGCTGCTGCTGGAGAACCGGATCAGAGAGGATCTTAATATTCTGCTGCTGAACCATCCATTGATGGGAGAAGTGGGGCACTGCTCTGATCCGTGGGCTACTTCTGGGCCGAGCCAAGCGGGCCACACTCTGCCTGAATAAAGCCCGGCTGTGCTGCTGAATGGGCCTTATGTAACCGAGTCATCTGGTTCTGAGGCTCATTCACATTCATCCCGGAACCCTCAGAACCCTCACACAGCCGCCTCATTATCCGGCCGGCGGGGACATGGGCTGGGCTCTGTGCCGCTGCTGGTTCTGTTCAGGTGGGTCTCACGGTGCAGCCGGTCTCACCGGGTCGCCTCAGAACCTCTCGCGGTTACGTAAGAGGAGCCTCCTCTGGTTCTGAGAGCAGCTTTTGTTGCTGTTCGTCTTTCTCAGGGTCTCATTCGGTTCTGGTTCTGATCCGTTGATGCAGGCTGAGGAGCGGACCGAGCCGGCCGGGGGAGGTAAAACGGTTTTCATCTTCTGCTGCCGAGCTGAAATACGACTGTGATACATTTAATTAATCTAAAAGCTTTTATCTCTGAAACTAGCTTTAGTGAGAAAATAGTTTTTCTGCATTTTACAGGTTAAAATGTACAAATATCAAAATAAATCTGCTTTTTAGAGTAAAATGTGACGTTTACAGGATTTTCACAGCCTGACTTTACCTCAACAGGTAATTAACCAGTTGGAGGCTCTTCATTGATTTATTACATTTACTGTTTAAAACTGTGACTCCCAATATATTACCGTATTTATAGTTTATTTTTTATATAATATATATTTACAGTGTTTCCGCTCTAAGTTCTTTGCTCCTCTTTACAGCAGCAGCCTCCAGTTCACATCGTTTGTCAGATTTTTGGTAAAAGCAGGTGGTTTTCTGACAGTAGTTTGTTCACTTTAACACATTTTCCTGTAAAATTAGAGAGTCACAGACATAAATAACAATAATTCTTTAATCTTTGTTATCCAGAAAATAAATGCAAACACTCCAAATGCAGTCAAACACCAAAAAAACTGTAAAACTGTGCAGTGAATAATTCACTAACAACTTGTATAATTACAGTAAAACACCCAAAACAATGAGAAAGAACAGATTATTATTATTATTATTCTAAGGCAGCTATTCTAGTCCAGTGAAAGTATTTTAGAATCCAAGAAAAAATAATTAAACTTAATGAAAAAAATAGCAAAAATATTCTATATTTTAATGACCTTCAGTTTGGACAGTAGTTCTTGTTGATGGCATTTATTTTTTCAGATTTTACGGTTTTTAATGTATTTTGGAGAAACACAACCTGAATCATTACAGTCATTTACTCACAACAACAAATATTTATAGAAACTTACATTTAAAAAATGCATAAAGCACTAAAACACTATAAAGAAATTAAAAATAAAACATGAGGCAGGTCAGCGTCACATGGATCAGAACTTCAGCTTTTCTTATTTTTGGCTGCAGAAAACCGTCTCTTTGTAAAACCACTGAGCTGCTGTTGGAGCTTTTTGTGTGTTTTGCAGTAATTTGTTAGAATCTCGTCCTCCTTCCTGCTCTGAGGTCACATCCGAGGTTTTCTATCTGATGAACTCGTTAAAGGAAACAAACGAGTTCTGCTGACAAGTGTGAGTTCTGTTGGGAGCTGACAGAGTCCGGGAGGACGGTTCCGGTGCGTCCTGTGTCTGCACCAGGCGGTGGGTTAATAACGGGTCTGAGCTGAACCAGACGGCAGCCAGAAGTCGAGTGTGTATTTAAAAAAGTGCAGAGTCATGCTAGCTGCTGGATGTGATGTGTGGAGCGGCTCTGAGGTCCGACAGCTCAGTGGAGGACGGGTCAGAACCTCTGAGTCTGCAGGTCCACGGAGGTGACTCCATCAGACTGAGTCAGAATCTCCAGATTCAGAATCTGCCCAGAACCAACATGCGTTCTGGGTTTGGGTTCCTTCTGTTGTTTGTTCTGAGCAGATTCTGACCCAGGAGACTCTCCATCATCCACGTCTTCATTATTCATCATTTAACCAGAACCAGAACCAGAACACATCCCGCCTGAGCAGATGGTAGATGTCCTACAGAACCTTTCTACCATCCCAGGACCATCTGGACCCTCCAGCAGAGAGCAGAGACCGACCCATGAAGCTTCAGGGCTGGTCAGGGTCCAGAGGTCCTCCGTGGTCCATCTTATCATTGCTCCTTCAGAACCGAGCCAGTTTGGATCACTGCAGGGTGGCTCAGTGGTTAGCCTAGCCTAGCCTTACAGCTAAAAGGTCACCGGTTCGTGTCCTGGTGAGGACACCCGGGATCTTTCTGGTTACCTGTCCAGGTGAACCTGCCTTCACCCTGAGTCAGCTGGAATAGGCTCCGCCCCCCATGACCCTAGTGAGGGTTAAGGTGTAGAGATGATGGATGGATAGTTTCTACAGTTAGAAGTTTTTACATCAGATGTGTTCGTTCAGTCTGTTTTGGTGATTTCAGTCATAATCTTGTGTATTTTAGAAACATTAAAGGGAAGAAAACATTTTAAATTCAGTAAAATGCTCCAAAGTTGCATAAATTAATCCAGAATAAATCCTATCTGGTGTCTGGAACCAGCTGACAGAAGGTTGAACGTTACGTAACGAAGCCGCTTCAGTGGAAACGTCTGATAAGGAACCTGCTGTCAGCTGTTATTAGCTCTATTACGGCTGGTTCCTCAATTTTATTCTCTTTCCTCTGGTTTCTCACTCTGGAACTCAGAACCAGCACCTGGTCCAGATAAAGGCTCCGTTAACAGGTCGGGCTTCCTGCCAGCTCTGAGGTGGTGTCGACTGTTTCCCAACCAGGAGCTCAGCGTGAGAACGAGTCCAGATGGAAAAAACCTGCTGAAGGACAGGTTCAGGGCGAGTTTATCTCCAGGTCGGGTGGAACAGAAAACCTTCAGCACTCAGAGTGGGACGCAATGAAACACATTGGACAGTCTAAGCAACGTACAGACATAAAAATACAGTAAAAATAATCTGTCAAGTGAGAAAACAGTGACTCAAAGTGCACAGGGGGCATGAAACTAAAGGAGAGTTTGTCTTCAGGTGAAACTGAAACATCACAGAGCAGAGCAGGAGACCTTTATGGCTCTGAGCTGCAGATCTGCACGTTTTATGCAGCTTAAATATGAAGAAAAACTAAATGTGCAAAGACAAAAACAGCTAAAATATCCATGCACGAGTGGAACCAATGACAAGTCACACAGTTTGTTTTCTGTTTTAATCCAACAGGGAGGATGAAGCTTCACTTTAAAGGAGTTTTAGTTCTAAAAAGTGTTCAAGAAGCTCATTTATGGCACAGTGTGGAACTAAACAACAGTTTATATGTAGAATAAGACACGTGCAAATATAAACATATAGTTAAATGAAGGTGTCCTGACTCAGTTTGTTTTAGTTCTGATGGTTGTAGAAGCAGAACCACAGACTCACGGAGGCTTTAGTTTCACTGGCAGCTGCAGCTGTGCGTAAATAAATGACACAGACGATGAAGCAGGAAACGTTTCTGATGCTTCATGTGTGAAAACAGCGTTTAAATCAAACACCTGCACAGAGGAGCTACAGCAGGCTGGTGGTGGAGGAGCAGAGAGGAGCAGTGGAGGAGCAGAGAGGCTCCGCCCGGAGTCCTGAACAAAGTGTGGAAGGAAACAGAGGCGGGACGTCTCCGCCCTGAAGACGCAGAAAAAACCCGATGAAGCGGAGCAGGAGGAGGAAAGAGCCGCAGTAACTGGAGCGACTCCCCACCGAGGAGACCGAAGTCAGAGTTCGCGTCCAGGTTCAGGATTTCAGCTTCCACATGAAGGACAAAACCACCGCGTTGACGTGTGAGTACCGCCGCCGAGCCGGAGGTGGAGGTCTGGGAGTCTGACCCAGATGCTGCTGCTGCTGGATCACGCTGCGTAAAAAAGCCTGTTTTCTGTGTTGAGCTGAAGGATGAAAGCTGCTCAGACCTCGGAGGGTTGAGTCTGTGCTGGGGTTGTGTGTGTTTGTGTTGTGCTTTCTGACATGTTTCCATCTGCTGTGCGGAGCGGTGTGCAGCTGCCGGTGTTTCTATGCGGGCTTGGAGCGTCTGTTTTGGGTCTTTACGCGCACTGGCCGCGGAGTGTACATGTGAGATCGTGTTACGGACTCTCATTCCTCGGCGGGGTGAGGTTCAACCTGAACCAGGTGACTTACGTAACTCAGCCGACTGACCCACAGCGGCTCGCAGCGCAGGACGCAGCGCACAAACCCGCAGAAACTTCCTTTTTTGTATGACTGAGGACCCGAGGCTGCTGCTGTCAGACTGTCGGCTCCGCTGGGTCACACCGAGAGGGTCCGCTGTCTCCTCTTTGTTGTCAGCTGGACGCGTTCAGGAGTTTCTGTACTTTTCCACTCGGCATTTCTTGGCACTCGGCCTCCTTCGGCTCAGCTCGTCTTTTGTGCGCGGTGGGATCGTGCGTCACTGCCGGCGGCTCATTGAGCGGCTGCCAAACATGTTCCCATGTTGTGTTTACCGACGAGAGAAAGTTATGAAAGAACGCTGGAGAACCGTTTTGGTTTTAAACCTGCAGAAAGTTTCCTCAGAGGAACATCTGGACGCGGTTTGTGTCTGAATGTGTGCTTGCGGATCTTTGCTCTGCGACTTTTGCGCTCTTGGCGACACTTTGACGCAGTGAAGCTGCTCAAACATTCACCTCAGAATAGTGTTTAATGTGAAAACTGTTTTTTCTGCTTTTTTTTTTGTTTTTTTGATGCAACCACAGTCGAGGTGCGGCTGTGACGCAATGAAAGCGCAACGGCCGCTGATTGGTTGAAAAAGGTCCATTTACCGAAACGGAATGTTTGCAGAAGGAGACGCCCCCCGCTTGGGGGGCGGGGGGGCTCCTCCTCCTGACTCGTATAAAACCAGAGACTGGACTCTAACAGTCACTTTAACTTTGGCATCATGACGGTGAAAACAGACACAGAACCGGTCCTGACCTACTCCCGGTCCAGAGGACTCGTAGCTTTGCTCACCGGTACGACCTGATACAGTTGCTGTTCTAACCGGTTCTGCTTCTCTTGGATTTGACTCTAAATCTTGTTTTTTTTCTTCTGTTTGTTTCCTGCAGCGTTTATGAAACAGAGGAAGATGGGACTGAACGACTTCATCCAGAGACTCGCCACCAACTCCTCCTACAGCTGCAAGCAGTAAGTGGTTCTGATCCAGTTGCTACACCAGCGATGCAGCTTGTTTACAGGCTGACCTGAGTGTCTTGTGTGTTTCAGTCCGGAGGTGCAGTCCATCCTGAACCTGAGTCCTCCTCAGGATGCAGAGCTCATGAACTCCAACCCGTCTCCTCCCGTGAGTCTCCTCAGGTTCTCCTTCACTCACTCTCTGCTCGGAGCCTTTACAGAATCCGCATCAGTTTGCATGAATGATTCAGTTTCAGAGAAATGAACAACACACAGTTAAAGGAGTTCATTCATGTATTACTTTGCATGAACACAAACCTTCAGCTTGAATGTCAGCTTGTGTTGTTTAACAGGAAGTTTTGTGTTTCATTCTAATATGAGCACAAGCTGGTTGTTAAAGTTGCTCCAGTTAAATGTGTTTTGATTTATTTATTTTTTAGCAGTTTGACTTTTTCATGTTCTGCTCTTTAAGAAATGAAATAATTCAACGACACAAATTTTAATTTCCTCTCAAATTCTAAATAAACAAAAAGAAAAAGTCCTTTCTGAGCAGATTTGTCAGATGAAACTTTCTGATTCTGATTCAGCAGTTTGTTAAACTGAAGTTCTGATGGGCTAAACCTGACTAGCATTAGCATTAGCCTCAAAACAGCTGTATCAGCAGCTGGAGGATAAAATATTCACTGATGTAGTGGATTTTATTTCACCCTTTGCATCAGATTAGTTCTGATACATTCTGGCTGTTTTCAAATCTTTAAATCAGTGCATTCAGTGGTTCTAACTTTGTTCCGTCTGGTTCCCCCCCCCAGCCCAGTCCCTCCCAGCAGATCAACCTCGGCCCGTCCTCCAACCCTTCAGCCAAACCCAGCGACTTCCACTTCCTCAAGGTGATCGGCAAAGGCAGCTTCGGGAAGGTGCTGCTGGCTCGCCACCGCACCGACGACCAGTTCTACGCCGTCAAGGTCCTCCAGAAGAAGGCCATCCTCAAGAAGAAGGAGGTACGTTGTTGGTCTGCAAACACAATAACATGACTCAGTTCGTCCCAGCCGGCGTCTCTAACCCGCCGCCGTTTGGTCCCTCAGGAGAAACACATCATGTCGGAGAGGAATGTGCTGCTGAAGAACGTCAAGCATCCGTTCCTGGTGGGGCTGCACTACTCGTTCCAAACCGCCGACAAGCTCTACTTCATCCTGGACTACATCAACGGAGGAGAGGTGAGTCCACCACGGTCAGAGGAGCTATTTAAAGCAGCAGAGGAGCCGGAGGACCGAGAAAGTTTAGAGGAATGATAGAGGCAGACAGAGGGGATTTCCTGTCATGAGAAGCAGAATAGAAGCTCAGGAAGCCGCGGGGAGGGTCGGGACAGCGGCACCAAACCCAAAATTAGCAGCAGAACTCGGGCTCTGAGCAGCTAATCGAGCCGATTTCCTGCGATTGTTGGACGAGCAGAGACAGAGTGATTAAATATTGCTCTGCTTTCTCTTTCCTCTCCGTCCTGCTGCTCTCTGACTCCACCTTTAACCTCGTTTGGAAGCTTTTCCCTTCCTCCCATCCGGTTTCCTCTCACTCTGTCTCTTTATGGCTGCTGGTACTGACTCGCTGCTCGGTCAGAGCTTCAGAGAACAGTACCGATCCGATGCATCTACATTAAAGTCTAAAAAAAGAATATTCCTGCAGTGCATTAAAAAGAAAACCTGCCTGTTACTAGCATGCTAGTTTCCTTCTTCGTGTCTTTCTGTGGTTCCAGGACAGACGATGTCATTCACTCTTTCCTTCTTTCTTCTGCGTTGCAGCTGTTCTACCACCTGCAGAGGGAACGCTGCTTCCTGGAGCCCAGGGCCCGGTTCTACGCCGCCGAGATCGCCAGCGCTCTGGGTTACCTGCACTCGCTCAACATCGTGTACCGAGACCTGAAGCCGGAGAACATCCTGCTGGACTCGCAGGGACACATCATCCTCACCGACTTCGGGCTCTGCAAGGAGAACATCGAGCCCAACGGAACCACGTCAACCTTCTGCGGTACGCCAGAGGTGAGCAGAACCCGTCCGACCCAGTTTGTTTCGGCGTGCCGGCGGCGTTGCGTAGCTTCGTCTAACTCTTGTTTCCTCTCCGCAGTATTTGGCTCCTGAAGTTCTACACAAGCAGCCGTACGACCGAACGGTGGACTGGTGGTGTCTGGGAGCGGTTCTGTACGAGATGCTGTACGGCCTGGTGAGTCACGTCCTGGTTACCGCTGAACATGCAGAACCGTCAGACCTCAGCCTCAGCGGGTTCTGTGAATGTCACGGCTTCACTGTTGAGCTACGAAACTAAAGATCTTCAGTTTACTGCAAAGGAAAGATCTGAGGAGCTGGACGCCACAGAGTTACACGTTCTTACTCAGAGAACGACTGAACGCAAGAGCTGCTGATGAACTTTGTGTCCAAAGTTTAATGACTGCAGCTCAAATATGAACCTGAAACCTCATGTCACACCAGATCGGGGTTTCTGTTAGAATTTTACACTTAAAATAAAAACTGTGATTTCAGCTTCTTCAGTGAATATTTTCTGGTTTCTTTCCTCTGTGACACTAAACTGAAGGTCTTTGGACTAAACGAGACATTTGAGGAAACTCTGATCCACGTTTTTAAACCATCTCAGTGATGGAACAATCAACTGATCTTCACTGAGAACATCAAACGTCTCGTGTTTGTGTTTGTTTGGTTTGGAAGCTAACCGCTCCGCTCTGTCCGTCCTCAGCCTCCGTTCTACAGCCGGAACACGGCTGAGATGTACGACAACATCCTGAACAAGCCGCTGCAGCTGAAGCCCAACATCTCCAACGCGGCGCGCCACCTGCTGGAGGGTCTGCTGCAGAAGGACCGCACCAAGAGGCTGGGCTGCACCGAGGACTTTGTACGTCTCTCCGTCCTCCAGACGTCTCAGGCTTTGCTCTCACTACGCCGACCTCAGCTCATCGCTTGTTTTACTCTTTGTGCCTTTTGCAGATCGAAATCAAGAACCACATATTCTTCTCCCCCATCAACTGGGACGATCTCAACGCCAAGAAGATCACGCCTCCCTTCAACCCCAACGTGGTAAGTCTTCTGTGATGCTTCAGTCGGAGCTGCAGCTTCATCATACAACCCTCTGGTCTGTGTTAAACATCTTCTGTCACTATGACGCCGTTAGAATGGCACTAAAGAGGGCTTTATTTGATTGTTTGTTTAAAAGTGGAGGCATTTTGGTGATAATTTAAAGAAAACTTGCCTTTCCAACTTGCTTTTGGAGGTAAACTTGTGTGCCAAAAAACACAGAATTTCTGTTTTTTATGGAGTCTGGTTCAAGCACATGACTTCTTGTTGGCAAAGTTTTAAATGAGACGGGTTTTTTTTGATGAAATCTCCTGATTTTGGGCTCAGATTTGGTTCATTTCCCCTCAAAGTGACACCGCTAGAACGACACACGTCATCAGGAGAGGAAACATTTAAACGAACCTTAAATCAACATGTCCAGTGCTTTCTAGTTCACCACACATGATCAACTGGTACATCTACAGATCTGTAGTTGTTTCATTTGTTTCTATATTCATGTGCTGAACATCCTGCAGTCCACCTGAAAACTCTCAGATTTTCTATGAGGTTACTGAAGGTTGCAGCTGATCCACTGATGGCTTCATGGCTGCACCAGAGAGGGCAGAATTTTCTGTTTTTAACAGAATCTGATTAGAGCAAAACCTTTATTTTTGGTGACACATGTAGAATGAAGGGATCTTGATGAAGCCTCGTGGTTTTAGGATCCGTAAGAACGTAAAGATTTGAGGATTCCTTCAGTTTTTTATGGTTTCTGGCTGATAAACGGTGTCGTGTTGTCAGAGGAGGGTTAAAACCCTGCAGCAGCCAGAGCCCACATAGTTTCCTTCTGTCTCAGTCTCTGGTATTTGCCTTTACATAACTGGACCGTGAACGAGAACATTTCCAGTTATGGTGCTGCTGTAAATCCTCACTGAGCTTCTTTAATCTTCCTCCTGCAGACGGGTCCCAACGACCTGCGGCACTTTGACCCGGAGTTCACCGACGAGCCGGTGCCGAGCTCCATCGGCTGCTCCCCGGACAGCGCCCTGGTGACGGCCAGCATCAAGGAGGCGGCCGAGGCCTTCGTGGGCTTCTCCTACGCGCCGTCCATGGACTCCTACCTATAGGACTCGCTGTGAGCCGCCGGCTCCGGGACTCACGGATGTTTTACAACCAAACCCTGCAACAAACCTCGTGTACTCGCCATGTTCCACTCTTGAATGCGTTTGATTTCCCGCCCCCGGAGGACGTCGGGATTCTCCTCCTCGGCACCGGTTTCCATCTTTTCACCTACTCTGGAGGGTTTTGCACACCGCTCAGGCAGCTCGAGGCTCCTCCGTCCTGACAAGCACACTCAGACTTCCACCTTCCTGCTGATCCTCCGTCGAGTCTGAAGCAGCTCAGAGCTCATTTCGGTGCTTTTGGTTTTACTTTCTGCACATCTGGAAAAAAAAGGGAGTTTATTTGAAGCTGAATGTTACAGAAGAGGACGTTTTGTCGTGTCAGAGGTGCCTTTCTTTGAGTTCCCCGCATCCCGTCGCTGGTTCGTCCACCTGAGAGGATGATGTAGCACTAAGTTAGTTCTGTCTTTAACGTGAGGAGCTGAAACGTCTTCATTTGCACATGACCCCGGTGACGCCGACGGCGCCGGACGGACCGAGCGTCTCCGTCGCCGACATCGTCTTCCGTTCGCCTCGCAGAGACTCACTGAACCCGACATTCCATTTTAATATTGCTGTAATGACGGTATTTAAGTTTGTTTGTATATTTGGAGTTCTGTGTTCTAGTTTTAATGTATATTGAACAAAGAGACGACTAAAGTATGCTCAAACACGTAACGATTCATGTTAAATGTACTGTAAATTGTAAAATTGTTTAAGATTTATGTGACCATGTTTGGTTTGCAATAAAAGTTTAACTTTATTACACCTTAAACCGGTTTTTCATTATTGAGAAGTGAACCTCGTTTGCATGGAAGAGACAAACGTTTGCACACATCCATCCAGACGTCGACAACAGAAATATTAAAATGTTGTGATGCGTCTGTTGAGTAACTTTGAAGAACTTGAAGAGTTCATTTGCAAAAACAGATAACTCCATCTTCAATAACCTTCAGAAAACCCACTTCTCCATCGTCTACCTGAGACAACATCAATCAAACATAGTTATTTCTTCTTTTTTTTGTCAAATCCACTCAGCTTCAGTTTGACTGAAATCAAATAAGTTTTCTGAAAATCTACAAACATGGAGTTATGTTTCTGCTTCACTTGTTCCTCCAGAAACACTGACTTCATAACAGAAAACACAGAAGCTGTCAAAGACTATAAATTATTCTCCAAACGAATTTAATAATCGGTTTAATTTAAATAAAATCAGTCTTAAGTTCTGTGATTTCAGCTTCTTCAGTGAATGTGTTCTGGTTTCTTTCCTCTGTGACACTAAACTGAACATCTCTGGACTGAACAACACATCTGAGGAAACTCTGATTCACACTTTTAGACATTTTACACATTAAATAACTGACAGATGAATCAACAATAAAACTTAGAATCAGATCCAGTCGAACATAAGTTTTTATTACATAACACATTGAACCATTAACAGTTCGGTGACTAACAGTATTATCAGAATATGTACAGTTTCGAACCACAATGAGCCCAAAATATTAAAAACTTTAGAAAAGAAACTGATTTTCTACATTAACATCGATAAAGTGAAGCAACCAACTTCAGTTTTTCTTTAATCTTTTGACTTCTTTGCTGTATGTCTTGATTGAAACAGATAAAACTCAACTCTTCAAAGTGTAAAACGGTTTTAGGTTTGGTTTGTAATAAAAGTTTGAAGAGGAGATAAACGGCTGATAAATGATCCGCGAGGAGTTAAACTTCACTCCTGATGGTGAACTTTAGTAGAACAGAAGCACATGAAAGCTTTTTCCACAGTTCAAGGGAAGAATGTGAAGAATGAACTTGAGCCAGTGACCGATGATCCGACTGGACTTTGTCTCGTTCGGTGCGTCAGCAGCTTTTACACAACATCGGTGACGTCCGAGTGTGACAGATTATTGACCGACGGTCACTCCAGGTCAGAACGGATCCATCAGCAGCTTTACGTTAAAGTTTAATATTATTACGAACACGGTGTCTTCACCTGGATGATGGCTGCTCATCAGCTGTTTAGAACTAGTTAGAAGCGATACAGAAGAACCTACAGTGTACCGGAGAGTATTCACAGCGCTTCACTTTTTCCACATTTTGTTCTGTTACAGCCTTATTCTAAAATTGATTAAATTCATGTTTCCCCTCAAAATTCAACAAAGAATGTACCATGATGACAACTTGACAAAAGTTTTGAGATTTTTGCAAATTTATTAAAAATAAACAACTAAGAAATCATATTTACTTAATCATTCACAGCCTTTGCTCAATATTTTGGCAGCATTTACAGCCTCAGGTCTTTTTAAATGTGATACCACAAGCTTGGCACTCCTATCTTTGGTCCGTTCCTCTTTGCAGAACCTCTCAAGCTCCATCAGGCTGGATGGGTAGCGTCGGTGCACAGCCATCTTCAGATCTCTCCAGAGATGTTCAGTTGGATTCAGGTCTGGGCTCTGGCTGGGCCACTCAGGGACATCCACAGAGTTGTCCTGAAGCCACTCTTTAGAGATCTTGGCTGTGTGCTCAGGGTCGTTGTCCTGCTGAAAGATGAACCGTCGCCCCAGTCTGAGGTCGGGAGCGCTCCGGAGCAGGTTTTCATCCAGGATGTCTCTGTACATCGCTGCATTCATCTTCCCCTCAATCCTGACTAGTCTCCCAGTTCCTGCCGCTGAAAAACACATAAATGGTGCCCGATTTCCTCCAAACATGACAGCTGGTATTCAGGCTGAAGAGTTCAATCTTTGTCTCATCAGACCAGAGAATTTAGTTTCTCATGGGCTGAGAGTCCTCCAGGTGTATTTTGGTAGACTTTAGGCGGGCTGCCATGTGCCTGTTACTAAGGAGTGGCTTCCGTCTGGCCGCTCTACCATAGAGGCCTGATGGATGGATGGCTGCAGAGATGGTTGTCCTTCTGGAAGGTTCTCCTCTCTCCACAGAGGAACGCTGGAGCTCTGACAGAGTGACCATCGGGTTCTTGGTCACCTCTCTGACTAAGGCCCTTCTACCCTGATCGCTCAGTTTAGACAGCTGGCCAGCCCTAGGAAGAGTCCTGGTGGTTCCAAACTTCTTCCATTTACAGACCATGATGGAGGCCACTGTGCTCACTGGGACCTTCAAAGCAGCAGATGTTTTTCTGTATCCTTCCCCAGATTTGTACCTCGAGACAATCCTACCTCTGAGGCCTACAGACAATTCTTTTGACTTCATTCTTGTTTTGTGCTCTGACATACACTGTCAGCTGTGGGTCCTTATATAGACAGGTGTGTGCATTTCCAAATCACGTCCAATCAGCTGAATTTACCACAGGTGGGCTCCAGTTAGGCTCTAGAAGCAGCTCAAGGATGATCAGCGGAAACAGGATGCACCTGAGCTCAATTGTGAGCTTCATGGCAAAGGCTGCGAATACTTATGTACATATGATTTCTTAGCTTTTTATTGTTTATAAATTTGGAAAAATCTAAAAAATAAATAAATAAATAAAGTTGTCATAATGGTGTAGTTTGTGTAGAATTTTGAGGGGGAAAAAATGAATTTAATCCATATTATAATAAGGCTGTAACATAACAAAATGTGGTAAAGGTGAAGCGCTGTGAATACTTTCTGGATGCTCTGTAAAAACCTGTTCAACATGTGATCCATAACAGTCTGAAATAACTCAGAGGTGCTTGAATGACTTTAGGATCTGTCAAAATAGTTAAAACTAAGTCAAACCATTCAAAAACTGTCCAAAATGATTTTGTAATGCTCAAAAAGGGCTTGAAAATGGTCCTGATTTGGTTTAAACTTTTAAAATGTCCAAAATGACATGAAACATGTTTCAAATGAGTCAGAAATTGTCAGAAATGAGCAACAGATTGGACAGAGTGACTTCAATTAAGTCCTAAATGATCCAAAATGTGACTTAAAATGACGTCCAGCACCAGTTACAGCAGGTAGAAATGACTCAGAATTGTCTGAAACATCCAAATGGACTAAAAACTGGTCCAGAACTATTCAAAGTTTGTCCAAAGAGACGATAAGTTCCAGACAGAACCTGCAGCTGAAGACCAGCAGCTCCAGTGTAGACGGACTTCTGTTGGTTTTCAAGGTTTGTGTTAATAAAGTTTTCTGGAGGCTCCGGTCCAGTGACCTCTGACCTCTGAACCGGTCCTCAGTGATTCCGGTTCTGATCCGTCACATGAACATTCAGTCCGGTTCAAAAGTCAACAAACAGAACACGAGAGCTTCGTTGGCAGCAGAACCAGAACCTCTGCTCTGGTCCTCGGTTTTCTGGGGTATGCTGACCGGTTTGAGCCCATTGGTTGATCCTGCTCTGCCACCTGCTGGTTCTGTCTGGAGCTACACTGTCAGAGTGGTTTCCATGGAAACAGGGCTGATTCTGCAGACTGTACGGGTCAATACGAGCCCAACGGAACCTCTGCAGTGAACCTTTAAACTGTTGGACTCAGAAAAACGTCTCTTCGTGTGCTTCTGCAGCCGGGACAGACGGAACATGTAGAAGATCAATTAACTTTAACCCTGTCCAGGACCTTTGGGTTCTTTTGGACTCCAGGACATTTTCTTTAAATATAAAAAGAGGGATGTGTGTCATGCATCAGGAACCAAAGATACGTCAACTGATCAGAACATTTGTATAAAGTCTGTAATGATACCAGCAGACAGAAATGGACCCGACAGACCTTCTACGTATGAAGGTCCTGGAAGGGCTAAACTCTGGATCAGCAGATAAAGTTCATGAGATGATTCCAGTTCATGATCATCAGACTCTGAAGGTCCAAAGTGTTCTGGTTCTGTCAGAACACCTGAGGTGCTCTGAGTCCGTCCACACTGGAGCTGCTGGTCTTCGGTTCTGGGTCCATCACTGGTGTTTGGGATTCATTTAGACATCTCTTGAGTCCTCACAAACACCGCTGACTCCTTCTAAACATTATTTCTTAATAATTTGGACCTTTCTGGATCATCGTGAACACGTTTCAGATTCTGTCGGACAGTTTTGGGTCATTTAGGATGAACGTGGACACGTTTAAAGAGCTTTCAGGCACCGTTTAAGCTCATTTTAGACAATTTACGAGTCAATTTGAAGTTTTTTTTATAAATTTCAGAACTTTTATTTCCTCCAGGACCAGTGGTTTTGTGGGAAAATGTAATTATCAGGTCCTTCTTACTAACTCTCGATGGTGTTAAACTCATTTAGGTTCATGTTTACGTAATTAGGAACAATTTTTTGATCATTTTGAACAATGTGAATTTACTGTTTCTCAAGTTTTGTCTCTTTTGTTGGTGACGTTCCCTAATAATCGGATCCAGGAGGTCAGTGAGTCAGTACATCCACCAGGTGTCCCCGTTCTCCTTCAGAACCGCTGGAGGAACCCTCAGCATGCTTCAGCTTTGGAAAGTAACTAAGTACATTTACTCAAGTACTGCCCTTAAATCCAGCTTTGAGTGACTTTGTTTGAGTAATTCCATGTTGTTTTTCTTTCCACATCTCAGAGTACATACTCTAGTTCCTGCTGCACCACATTTATCCTCCAGTCTGAAGCTTTGGATCTATTTTTTGTATTGTCTGTTGTTTTTTTCAGTTTGGTTGTTTGTTTTTTAGATTTACATTTAAATTTTTTTTATACGTCAGATTTTTTTTTTTTTTTTTAAATGAGAAAAATCTCTATTTTTGATATATTTTACCATTGAGAGGAAAGACATCCATAAAATGCCTCCAAAAGGTGCTGCTAAAGATCCAGAATATTATAAAAATTCACAAAAGTAATAAATAAATAAAATCCCCCTGAAAAATGGCACAATATCTCTAAAAAATAGTTTCACAAAAATATTAATGAACAAAGTGAAAAAGAATAAAACATATCCAAGAAATCTGGAAAAAAAATCTTTAAAATGTATTAAAGTTTCCAAAATAGCCAAAAAATACTGAAGAAAAAGTCCAAAAACTTTAAATAAACTGTGAAAATTATTTTCTTTAAATGTCAGAAGCATCAACAAAGTGTTTTAAGTGCAAAATGTTTTTTTACATGTTCATTAATTAACAACTGATGATTTGAATACCTACATTTAGCCCTCTGTTTCATCAACAGGTTTTTATTCATTAACCTGAAATAAAACAAATCCCAGATTAAAGTACATCAGTGAGTCTTAACATGAGATCCACCGTCAGCAGAGGAGGAAGAAATATAACATAAATATAAAATAAAATATATGTAACAATTATAACAATTATGTTAATATGATAAATGTAAAAACCATAATAATTATATTAATATAATAAATGTAATCATTCTAATTATTTTATTAGTCATAATAAATGTAATCATTTTAATTATTTTATTAGTCACAATAAATGTAATCATTGTAATTGTTGCTGGACAGATTTTAAATCTGTGGGAACAATAGATTGTGAGGTCGACCTTTAAACCAGCAGCAGGCGTGTCTCTGATTATCTCTAATCATCACTGATTAAATCTGTTTGTTCTTCATTACGTAAATTTAGAGTAAAAACTTTTTTTGTTTTGTTTTGTTTTTTTACAGTTTTTACTGTAACTTCACTGTTTTAAAGTGTAATTTCATAAACTATAGAAGTGATTCTAGAGCAGAATGTGAGCTTTAAAACACACACTTCACAGGAATAAATGCTGTAAATAACAAACTGTGTTTAATCTTCACGATCCAGAACTGAGAACTCGGTTTAAACATTTTAAACACCTCCAACAACAAAGGACGAGTTCTTATGATCAGAACATTTATTCAAAGGCAGCAACATCTGACCAACTGCAGTTTATTAAATACGTGTAAGAAACCAGTGAAAAATAATTCACGTTAATGTAAAGAAGAAAAAAAGAAAGAAAGAGAAGTGATGAATAAAAGTTATTCATAATATTCTCTGATTCCACTGAACTTCAGTTTCTACTGGTTCTGCTGCTGAACCGTGTTCATGTAGAACCAGAACTCTGTTGCTACAATCTGGTTCTTTACACTCATTCATCAGCACGACGGTAAAAACGGTCAGAACACGAGAACGTGAGAAAATTAAAGCTGCTTGTGATTAAATCTGAACCTCGATCAGAAACCAGCAAAGGATTTGGCAGCAAGAAGCGCTGACGCAGCGAAATCAGTCAGCAGCATTACATAACACACACACACACACACACACACACACACACACACACACACACACACACACACACACACACTGGGGATCAGATGTCTGAGGTTCTAAACAGGTCAAACTGTGGAACCTATAGAACATCTAAAAACATCTCAGCAGAAGTGGGGCAGACTCACACTGAGAGGAGAGGTCACATTCAGACACACAGCTGCACACACACAC